AAGTATCCTAGCTTCACTTGACAAGGCCTACCTGCTGAGCACTGTTTGCCTTGTCTGCCTGTTACTAACATGATGGAAGTGTGCGAGGCCCAGAGATGCACTGATTTCTAATGCACTCACTCTGAACAGCTGACAGCCACAAACCTTTGAGGATTCTCAATTGAAGGCTGCCTGAGTAACAATAACAGTCACAGGGGGATAATTTTTATAGTTTCTACTGTTAGATACTAGTTAGACTACTAGTTTCTACTGTTAGATAATAAAAGATTTTCTTTTTTATCATTTCTATCAATCATCTATCTATCCACCCATCCATCGATTCATCCATCCATCCATCCATCAGTTCATCTCAGAACAAAAGGAATGTATCAAAGCAAGAACACAGTCATTGTGATTGGGAAAAAAAGGCCAGAGAATTTCTTTGAAAACAAGTAATCACCTCCAACTTCCCACTTTTATTTTCTTGTTTATATATATAAATATAACATATATATAGAAAAATACAATATCTAGAAAAGCATGAATCCCTAGATTTCTGTAAGCGGTTTCAATGCATTTATTTAGAGCAAAGAATTCAAATATAAAGCTCGCCACCCATAGAGATCCTAGAGTTGTGCCATGTTTAATGCATTAAACTGAGTTCTGCCATCTCTGTGGAAGTCCAGCCTACATTGACTTTGTGCCAGTCAGTGATTCCGGCAAAACTCACAAAAGGATCATGGGACAGAATCCAGAGATGAGGAGGTCATAGCCCTCCTGCTCGCAAGTTGGTAGAAATAACAAGACGATTGCTCAACATAATCATAGCACACTTGGACTACTGGTAGGCACAGAATAATTTCCCTAGAGGGAAACTCCATTCTCTTTTCTTCCTAAGGGGGATGAGAGGCAGGTGGTCCTGGTATATTTTTGCAAAAACCTTAAAAACCAAAATTTTTTCCACCCTAGGCAAGTTTTTTATTATTATTATTAATAGCAAGCTCCCAAGCTTGAATAGCCATGATAAAAGTATACAGTTTATCATGTCTGTGTCATGTTGCTTAGCATTGAAGGCAGGTCTTGGCCTCAGTAGGGGGTCTATAAAACAGGCTAATTCCCATCAGTCCCGACAGGCCCCTAAACTCTTCAGGACACAGCCACCTTCGGTGAGAGGGGCTCTCGATGCCTCCACCTCTTCTGTCAGTTTCAAAGGCTGAGCCTCCCTTTGTGATGTGGGGCAAAAAACAAACAAACAAACAAACAAACAAAAAAACAACCACAAGTACCTGGCTACCTGGTGCTCTCAAACTATTCCTGGCACCCTTCCTCCCTCCCACAGCAGACTCCTTCCTTCTAGTGACACTATACACTTGGTGCAAAGACCGTCTCACAGCCTATTGCCTGAATCCTACAGCAGTCAAGGATGCACTCTCAAAGGAAACGCTGACCCTGGCTACTGAGGTGCACACTAGGCAGACTTCCTACGGACTGGATTTGTGCCTTGATCCACACTTCTTAGGGCTTCTAGAAGAAATCAGTGATGGAAACCTAGTGTCTGGAAGGAAACAGGACTGAGGAAATGGAAACCCAGGTTCTTGGTGTCAGCTTGGCCATTATTAAATGACCAAGGGGTTTTAAACAAATTGCTTCACTTCCTCACACTTTCTTGGGGAGATTTTATAAGCACTTTATCCTTGCTGAGCCTAAATACTGATGCCAAATTGGACGGTATGTTGGTCCCCTGAAGCCACTGTCACAAAACACGGTGGCTTATAAGAAGAGAAATGCATTGTCTCATGGCTGTGTTGGTTAAAATCCAGAAATCAGGCCAGCGCTGCTGCTCACTAGGCTAATCCTCCGCCTGTGGCACCGGCACCCGGGTTCTAGTTCCAGTTGGGGCGCCAGATTCTGTCCCGGTTGCTCCTCTTGCAGTCCAGCTCTCTGCTGTGGCCCGGGAAGGCAGTGGAGGATGGCCCAAGTGCTTGGGCCTTGCACCTGCATGGGAGACCAGGAGGAAGCATCTGGCTCCTGGCTTTGGATCGGCACAGCGCCGGCCATAGTGGCCATTTGGGGGTGAACCAACAGAAGGAAGACCTTTCTCTCTGTCTCTCTCTCTCTCACTAACTCTGCCTGTCAAAAAAAAAAAAAAAATCCAGAAATCAAGGTTCAAGTAGGGCCAGGCTCCCTCTGAGGGCTCTAGGGAAGGAGGGCTTCCATGCTTCTCCCAGGTCCTGGTGGTTATCAGCAATACTTGGAATTACTTGGCCTATGGAGGCCTCACTCCCTATGTGTGTCTCCATTTTCATAGAATATCCTTGTTTGGGGTTGCATGTTACTGTACTGCCATGGAGGACACTGTTGCCTCTGGACCCATCTGTGCCCAAATTTCTCCCTTCTTATTAGGACACTAGTCACTGAAATGTAATTTCCCTAATCTAGAACGGCTTCATCTTAACGTGGTTATATCTGCAATGACTCTGTTTCCATGTAATGTCTTATTAGGATTTAAGCACAACTTTTTGGAGGATACGATTCAACCTGCAGCAGGTGGTGTCCAGTGAACAAGGCATCACAGTGCATTTGTAGGTACTGAACTACAGGACAGGAGAATTGGAGCCAAAGAAGAGCAAGTTTGGCACAAAGGCAGCTTGAGAGGATGGGGCAAATGGAGTGGTCAGGAGATTTTGAGTTCCCCAGCTGAGATTCAGGAACCTGTTCTGAGATACATGGAAAAGGATGATTCAAATCAAAGCTGTAAGAACAGTTTTTCACAAGAACTTTTGTGAAAATTTGGGCTCAAGAGACAAACAAAAAATGCAATACAAAGTAATTCAAAAGGAAGCATTTTTTTGAATTGCCACATGGACCAAACCAATAGGAATGAACACATAATACCTATTCAACAATCATCTAATAAATCTGGCCCCAGCATTTCTACCTTTTTTAAAATATTGATTTATTTTGAAAATTCAGAGTTACAGAGAAAAAAGGAATGAGAGAGAGAGAGAGAGAGAGAGAGAGAAAGTCTTTCATCCAATGGTTCACTCCCCAGAAGGCCACAATGGCCACCACTGAGCCAGATAAAAGCCAGGAGTTTTATTTAGGTCTCCCAAGGAGGTGTAGGAGTACAAGCACTTGTGCCATCCTCAGCTGTTTTTCCCAGGATATTGGCAGGAAGCTGGATTGGAAGTGTAGCAGCCGGGACACAAACCAGTGCCCATATGGGATGATGGCATTGCAGGCAGTGGCTTTACTGGCTATGCCACAGCACCAGCCCCCAGCATTGCTTCCACCTTCCTGTAGTGTCCTTGAGGAAGTCACCCACCATCTCCCATTCCCTATTCCCAGTCAGTCTTGAATGTACCTCTGTGAACTTCAAGGATGTCTCATGCCACTGCTGCTAACTAGCTACTTAGTCTTCAGATCCCTCAGTCAGACTGAATGAGGGATGAGCATGTGACACAAAGCAGCTAAAGTTCAATGCCACACTTTGCTTGGAACTATTGTGGAAGACATTTCTTTCTGCTCCACTGATTACCTAAAATGAAAATTCATGCTGCTCTTTACTCTATAAGGAGGACCTAAAAAGAATCCAATACACGGCAAACTAGAAATAAGAGAAGAGTAGCTAATTATGGAAGAAAGAATGAGAGGCAGAGACTGAGACCACTTCTGCATCCACATCTTTGTATTTCTTGATACAGTCCTGCCTTCACTTCTTTGTTCAGCTATATGAGCTAATAAAATCTATTTTTGCTTAAATCAGTATGAATAGATTTTTGTCACCTACAGCCAAACTTGTCCCAAATTACAGAAAGGCCACTTGGCTTGTTATGGATTCTACAGCTTAAAAGCAGAAAAATGCCATACTCTAAGCAGGAAAAAAATGATTAGCCATGGATACAGTAGCTAGGGAAGCCTTGGTTTGACTGGATGTGATGTTTTTAGCTGAGAACCTTAAACAATGAGGCAGACACTGATCATAAGACAAATGATCCTAAGAACATGTAACTCACCGTGGGCAGTCTCATGAGCAAACTACAAGGTCTGCTCATATGTTCATGGACCACAGGCTGCGAATTATGCCAATTAGTATTAAATGGAACTTATTTGTGTCCATTAACTGAAGAAGACTGGGACATTCTGGCTACATGTCAAATAAAGGAGTAGCATGACCCCCTCCAGGTTCCAGTGAGATTCAGATTCCTATAATCTGACTAAAGGCTGAAAACTAACTTCTTTTGGCACAAGACTCATCATACATCTCTTCTTCTGCATATATATGTGTGTGTATGTGTATGTGTGTATAATATATATGTACACATATAAATATATATAATTTTCCTTTGCAAGAAAATAATCAAACAAGCATAATCAAACTTCTGCAATGTACTTGGGTCTCACTTTTCTTGAGAAAGGGAATGCTTCCTCTTGCATTCCCATTTAAGGGAACAGAATATCAACAAAAACTATAAGGTCAATGAAAAAGGCAAGACATTGCCAAAAATGAACTTTTGAAGGTCAAAGATCTGCAAATTAAAGAAAATAAGACTAGAGAGACCTACAGAATTAAATAAGCACATAAACTTTCAACATCAAAAAGTAAACAAAACATGTAAAGCCCCTTGTAAAAATCTAAAATATACTACCAAATGTTAAATGTGGAAATCTAAAACCGACTAAACATATAACCAAAACAATTGGTTTCTGACAATTATAGATATTATATCCACTTTCCTCAGTATAATCACTATATACAAAATGTATCATTTCATATAGATTGAGAAACAGTCACTTCATCAATTATGATTGCAAGCAGAAGGTCAATAAAGGGCAGATTCTGTGTTCTCTAGAAATGTCCCCAACTGCATCCTTTCACAACCAAATATTGTCAGGTTTGAGCTGATTATCTACATTTTTAAACAAATATTGTCTTTGGAAGGCTTAATCAGCTACTTGGCTGGCATAATAAATGCGTGGACACTGGAAGAGAATGAAGCACACACAAACAAGGCACTCACCTTTTCTCCCCTGAGGATTGTGGCAATTTTCGTGGATGCACAGGCCCCAGGCTGACCAGGAAGACACTATGCAGTCCGTAGAGCAAGGGATATTGCAGAGCTGAGAGACTGGAGGGGCAGGTCCCAAACATAATGTCTTTTCCACTGGTCTAGAGACTGAAGGACAAAAACATAACAGTCTGTGACATCCTCTGGCCATCCCTAGCATGCTCCTATCTTTATGTGTCTGCTTTGTTCACATTAGCCTTAGGGCTAAAAAGAGTAGATACAAACAAAATATTGTTCTCCAGTGCCTTTTGCTGAGCCTCACATTATGAGCATTTTGGGTGAGATAAGGCAGAGAAGACAGAGACAAAGGGCATGCACTTGAGAGTCTTGCTTCACAGAATATTCCCTGGGAATCCAAGGAGGACCGCAAATATCACAGATATGAATTTTCTATGGAGTTATGATTTTAACAAAATTAAATGGCTTGGTGAAGCTTCAAGATGAGTCTATCTTGACTATATAAATGACTTGGTTGCTGTGAAAAAATCAAAATCGAACCCCTAAGGTGAAGAATTTAGCATAACCAATCTACTGCTGTGATTCCCCTGAGGGGTGGAGATCCTGAAGACACAAGAAGAAAAATGGTTCTTAAAATAAGAAGAAAAATCAGGACCTGTAACTGCCAAACAGGCCCCCAGAAACCAGTTTTATTAGTAAAGCTGCCTAGAGATGCAAGACGTTTTATCCTTCTATTGGGGAAGGATAAAACTATGAACTTCCGAATCTTTCTGGTATGTACCTGCCCCCAGAAGAGGGCCAGAGGCAGGTCACTTCAGGATACAGCAACCATCTGTCCATCAATGGCACTTTCCCATTGTCCTCTGTATGCAAACCCTTTGTGGGTATCATGAGAATACAGACAAAGGAGAAGATAGGATTATGCTCCCTGCTAAACTGATGAAATAAATGATCTAGGTTAGCAATATCTGAGAATGACGCCCTAAAAAACAGCCAAAGGAATGACTAATTATACTTGCATTGAGTGACCCATGCTAAGAAGGTTTTTGAAGCAATTCAGTGTTTGTGAGCAGTTTAAGCTTAAATGGTTTTATTAGCTTGTACAGTTGTCTACGTATTTCCTAGATGTTATTTCCAACCAGGGGAGCAAATGGCAGAAACCAGTGTTAGTGTTAGGTAGTGAGCCATACCTTTACTTTGCTTCCCCATCCTTTCCCTGTGTCTAAGAGTCAAATCTGGAGGAGGTGACAATAAATCATAGCTCTGACCAGCAGAACTGCACATACAAACCAAAACAATAGCAAAGCACAAGAAATACTGTCCTGAAAAATCTGCATTGCAAGGCGGGGGGAAGTGTTCCTAATGAACAGTGAGGCAGCTTGAACTGCTTAGGAGGCGAAGGGAAAAAAGAGATTGCAAAGGAAAATAATGAAAATAGTTTGTTTGCAATTAATTTCTTTCACAGTTTACCAAAAGGATTTTGGAAATAAAAGGCAAGGGCAAAGCAAGATTGTGAATGTACATATGAAATATTGTCAATCAACTGGAAACATAGGAAAAGGAAAGCAGACTAGATATTAGGGAAAAGTGAAAGGAATCACTTAGGGAGACTGTGGAGAGGTAGTGATCAAAGGAATAGTATGCTGAAAATAGCAATGGGATGAGGAGACCACAACATGGGGCATACCTATGAGCCTGATGGGCCACAGGCGCAAAACAAACTGAGAGGTGACAGTGTCAAGGATTTCTCACCCCAGGAGTGAGGAAACTAAAATACATGACACAACCATTCATTGAGAAAACAATGTACCTATTCTAAATCACAAAGCGTCCATTGGAATCAGTAACTCTGGGGTGGTGTTTGGTTTCACAGAGCTCTCAGTCTTAGCATAAAGGAGCATGTTTACACAGTTGATAGAGATCTTAGAAATTGAAAACTGCACAGCTGAATATCTTAAGGTGGAAGTGAGCTTGGGTCTCATGTGCATGTCAGCATGATCTCAGAAATTCAAACTTGGGTTCCAAAAACTAAACCTTGGTATGATGGAACAGGAAGTAGGGCTCTGTTCCAGTTCTCCCTTGACAGACATCAATACTATGGTCCCAATTCCAGGTTGTCTCCAAGGTATAAACCCCAGGGTGGGACACATTCTGAATTCCCTGTGTTCCACAAATGTGCAGCATATACAGTCAAAAATCTCTGAACTTAGAGGGCTGACTCACAACAAATCCTATGCTTCTTTGGCCTTTTGCTGCTTGTCTTTAAGAAGTACACCTGCTTTTTCTAACTTGTGCATGAGTGTGCTATCTCATTGGATTCAGACAAGTTGGTAACCCACCCACAAGGACCCTGCTCAGCACCATGTGTTAAAACTGCATTAAGTGCTGAAGCCATAATACTAAGAAAAACACATAAGGTCCCTGCCTTCATGGAACTCATTCCAATGTGAGTTGACACTAACAATGCAGCAGTCCATAAGCCCCAACAAGACTGGAAAACTGTACCACTTTCCCTCTTTCTTTTGCCACGACTGTTTCTTCCCAAGAAACATTAAGTGCCCAATGATCAATAATAACGATACCTCAGACTTCCCAACTCTAAGACCCAGAAGCCAGCTGCTACCACAATGTCTGCACTTGGGGTTGGGCCCTAGACTACAGCAACTCTTAGGCATATAACAGGTTCACATGAAATCTTATTTGAAGCCCCCGGATGTCTGTGCAAGCAAAGCTTCCAAATATCAGTGCAGGAAGAAAGACTATAGAGCATGCCCCAAATCCAGAACACTGTATCTACCCAGATATTGTATTTAGTGAGATTATTTTTGAAGAGTTACTGAGGATTGGGAGGTGGGGCCTTAGGGTTACATCTCAAGGAATTCCCTTTGATAAGTACTTAGCCGTTGGTTAGGTGACTTTTGAACATTAGAGCTAATGGCACTCCTAAGAAGAAAGGGGCATAGTTTGCTGCAAAAGAACAGGTGGGACTTCCCTGTGGACTACTAAGTGACAATATTATAGGACCAGGCTGAATTGAGACCATTAGTCACAGCAGTCACATCTGCCCAGTACACATTGCCTTGATGGACAGTGGATCTTAATCTGTACCAATAAATTCTTTCATTCCCTTGAGACGTGTCCAAGACTGTTCATTTAGGCACTGAATCAATGTACTTGAGTCAGCCTATCTCCATCACAGACCCGTGCCCCCACCACAGGGTGCATTTGCTCTAGAAATACATGATAAATAAGCCACAAAGCACTTAAAGCTTCAGAGCACTTCCAGAACAATCTGCCTGAGATGAGTGAACACATGGCGCTTCTATACCTATTGGCTTTTAGAGCTAGAAGGAGCGTTAGAGCTAACATAGCTTAATAGATAATTTTCACTGTAAAACTAAGCTTCAAGATTCGAGGTGATTTCTCCAATTCACTTAGCAAGTTCAGAGCAGAGCAAGATCCGAGCCTTGTTCCGGATGGCTAACTCACCTCTACCTGTCCTTGGCTTTCCTGCCAGAGAATGAAGTTACCCAAGAGGACAGATGACGTCATCTGTACCAAGCATATTTTGTTTATGAGTCACAGTGACCACAACTGGAGGTAGCCAGTGACAAGAGAATTCACAGGCACTCATGAATCTTGCAAGTTTAAACTAACTCAAAAAATCCAATTCGTTCTGCTCCTTCAGTGCTCCTGCAAAACTCTATCACTTACCTCCACTAAGGAAGAGGTCGTGAAACCAACGTGTGCTCCACTTCAAGTAGCTTCTACCTGCTTTGAATGTTTACCCAGGTTGCAATACAGTTCTCTCAGAGGTCGAGTAGGATGGGGACATTCTCCAGGCCACCTGTTGAACAGTTGGACTGTCTAATGCAGGCTACTCTTTACTGAACTCTCATTTCCCCTTGGCCCAGCTTCAGGTATGATTGCTCTGCTGACAATCACTGTTTTGCCATTCACATACACTGCTTTCTCTGAAGCTACTTCTTGAATTGCATCAATTCTCCTACTAACTCTGTCTTCTCTAAGGCAGTGAATCCTGCTCTACTCAACACGCCTGTTCAGTGTATGTTTGTCTTTGCCCCACTTTCTCCTTTGTGATCCCATCACCTTGAAGCCTTCCACCATTTCCTCCTGACCAGATAAATAATTATCCTAGATTATATAGTCTATTTATACCAGAGGCAGCAGTGCCATTCCCCATAGAGACTTCTCATGGACCTAAAGAGTTAAACCACAAAAATAACATACTTTGGACACACCTGGACCTTTACGTAGCATCATCTTTGTAAACACTAAAGAATACATTACATATATGCAAACACTCATTTCATGTTTGGAGTATTTTGGTGCCTAACCTGGAATTTTTCATTTGCAATCTGAAATTACTAAATTGATCTACCTTACAACAAATGTTGAAGCCTGCTGATGATTGCAAAGTTTCCTTCAATAATTAATTACTCCATGAACAGAACGGTAATCAGCACGAGGTGTGACACATTGGATAGGGTTATTTTTGATGTTTAAAAAGTATTCCTAATCCAAGAAGTGAACAAAGTCCATGGTTTTCCTAAAGAATAAGGTGATTTCAGAGGAGCATAGAAATGCAGTCAAAATGAATTGCAATTAAGAAGAAAAATGTTTGTTGTGATCATTAGCACTTGACTGTCATTTAAAGAAAAAGGAGTACCTTCACATTTTATTCTTTGAAATTAAATCAAACTCCAATCTAAACTCATTAAAATTAGCACAGGAATAAGTTAAGTTGCCAAAAAGTCAAAAATTGTATAGCATTTCACACCCCCCACTGAAGGCTACTTTGGAAGATCAGAATTACAAGGCTTTTAAACACTGAAACAGGAAATTAAAGTGAAATTACATAATAATATTTAGTTAATTATAATTAACAACCTCTCTAGTTTATAAATAATGAGTCACATTTGCTTAATATAAAAAGTTATTATAGGAGTCAGTTTTGCTCTCTTATATTTTTTAAATACATTGATTACCAGTACTGGAGCACAAAAAAATTATCTTGAACATAGTCAAAGATTCATGTTCAAGACAAAGAGTTTTAGAAATGTAAAAAAATAATAAATTTGGGGATACCCCAAATCTATATTATTTACATTTGTAGTAATCCTACACAT